CTATTTTATTTTGGAAAATAGATTAGATTTTTTATTTATAAAAAATAATAAGTGGATAACTAAGTCAATTCTAAATCCCGGTCAAAAAAATTTTTTTTAGCAATTTCTCCCACAATTTTTATATTTCTCCCACAAAATACCTAATTTCTCCCACAATTTGAAAATTTTGACCTGGCAACCCTGTTCAAGCCACAACCTTATAATAATCTCACCAAAAGTGATATGGCAGGCCCTCTTTTGTCATCTTCAAGTAATAAAAATACATTTTTATATATAGTAAATATTGTATTTAAGGTAGTAATATATTTCCAAACAAGATGGGCTTCAAGCCACAACCTTTTAATAATCTCACCTAAAATGCTATGGCAGGCCCTCCTTTGTCATCTTCAAGTTATAAAAATACATTTTTATATATAGTAAATATTGTATTTAAGGTATATATTTCCAAACAAGATGGGCTTCAAGCCACAACCTTATAATAATCTCACCAAAAGTGATATGGCAGGCCCTCTTTTGTCATCTTCAAGTTATAAAAATACATTTTTATATATAGTAAATATTGTATTTAAGGTAGTAATATATTTCCAAACAAGATGGGCTTCAAGCCACAACCTTATAATAATCTCACCAAAAATGCTATGGCAGGCCCTCTTTTGTCATCTTCAAGTTATAAAAATACATTTTTATATATAGTAAATATTGTATTTAAGGTTAATATATTTCCAAACAAAGTGGGTCTGGACATCACAAAAGGTACTAGCAGTGAACCCCAAACTTTAAAATTTGCATTTGGTTAGTTGTAATATAACTACTATACATTTTAAATTTATTTTAGTAAATAAACTTGTTCATAATTATCAACCAGTCAAAATTCCATTTGTTTTCCAGCCAACAACAACAGAATGGAAAAAATATCATTCTGATAAGTTAGGCATGACTTTGATTGTGTCACAAAGTACTCAATATCATTATCCTGATGATATTGATCCAATTATAAGTGATGGAAATTGCTTTTTCAGGTATTAATAACACTTATAGAATCTATTCTAAATATTATTATAGATGTCTTAGCAAAGAAATCAGCAATGCTGAGCATAATCATGAAATGATCAGGACTATTCTGATTTCTTTTATGCTTCAAGAAAAGCACATCAACTTCTTTAGCGGGTTCATAGGAGATAGCACAATGGATTACATTGTGAAGAACAAAATGGGTTGCAATGGTACATGGGCCACAGATATTGAGATTTCCTCTGCCGCAACATTGCTTCAAACTAATATCTTTGTTTTTTTAAATCATAAATGGCTTTTATTTCATCCATTATTTATTATTCCTGATATAAATACATTTATTGGTTGTATTTATATAAGAAATTTAAATTTTCATTATAGTTTAGTTTTATCATGTAAATAATTATCAATTTATTTATAATTTTTTATATTTTAATAAAAAGTATTATCTAGTCAACTAATTGTATTTGTGCATAAAAATATATTTGTTGAAGCCTATTTTTATTAACAGTTTTTAAAAAAATTTATTGTTTAGCTCTTCAAATTAGGTAAAAAAAAACTCACATAATGGGCAAGATTAGGTGGGGTCTATGTAATCCCTCACAAGTTCCAAATAACCATTATAAGTGCTGAATAATCAAACAAAATTAAATTATTTTGAGATATATACTTTACTTAGAAATATTAAGATAAAAGATCCATATAAAAAATAAGTAATAACATTTTTTATACAATTAGCCTAATACCACCCTCCATGCTATATAGGATTAAGTTTTTTTTGTATTTATCATTTTATATTATTTTATGAAAAGTAAAGAAAAATAGTTAGAATTATATATTATTAAATTTTAGAAGATTAATTATCAGTTTTGACTATTGGTCTAAATATCTAATAACAAAAAATGCAAATTAATGCTTTAGAAGTAGAGGCTTAAAATCTAAGAAACCAGATAAATGTAAAAAATTGTAATTTTTATTTAAGAAAAACTAGAGTCTTTGAGATTAATATATGGCAATAAAAATTTTATAAATTAATATTCTTTGATTAAATATTAGTCAATGAATCATTGATATTATTTAAAAAAAACTTGGGTTCAAATTATTTTTTACAATTAATAAGCATAATCAAAATGTATGCATTTATGAACCCATATTCATATTTTTTTTAGTTTTTCAACTTGGATTGTTTGCTATAGAGATTTTGTTGTGCATATTTAACTCTAATTTTATAAACTAAGGTTAATTAGTTATTTCCTAATCCTTACAAGCTTCCTAAATTTATATCATAGTTTGATTTGAAATATCAGAATTACACTGGGCTATTGTTTTTCATAGAATTCAACTGAAATTATTTTATTCCTCTTCATTGTTAAATAATAATATTTAGATCATTAAAATTATTATAAAAAATAGAAGAATTAAATTAAACACATATTTAATAAACGAGGGTGTGATATTTAGTTTTTTCACTAAATATCACGGGCGTTAGTAGCAGTCACGGTCATTATTTTGGCCTGGGCACGATATAGCGAAGACCGAAACAGCGAAAATCAAAAAATGTTCCCAATATGGCGAAAATTTTTGATATGAGAAAAGTATATAATTGGTTTTAATGAAATATTAATAATTTAATGTGATACAGTAAATAAATATAATAATTTAGGAACAAATTCAATTCAGTTTACAAGTGTAATATAAATTGAATTTAAATTGAATATAATATTAACTTTTCGTTTGTAAATTATATAACCTGAAGGATTGAATTCATGATATATATATACGTGATATTTTGTATTAATTATACTTTTACTTACTTTTATTTAATAAAACACTTCATTGGCGACGATATTTTGAGAGAAGATTTATTTGATTTATTAAATTTAAAGTAAAAGACTCAATGGAAGTAGCTCCTATTAAAGTTGAAGATTCAATGAATGTAGTCCCTATTAAAGTTAAAGACTCAATGAAAGTAGTTCCTATTAAATTTCATATTCCAGAATTCGTCAAAGAAAAAGTAAATATTCAGGACTAGTTATTTAACTTGGAGGTAATTTATAAAGTAAGAAATATTATAGATTTAAATACAAAAAAAGACCTGCTTTTAGCCTATATCGGAACAGACAATCTTATCAAAATTAAGAACTTTCACTTTCCAATAAATTTAGAGATGATAAATTATGATACTTTAATAAAAAGCTTAAATTTGGTGTTCAAGGATAGTTCGAGCATTTTCGTAAATAGGAAAAAATTTTTTACGCTAAAAAGATGTAATGAGACGATTATTGACTTTTCAATTAGGGTTAAAACTGTCTGTTCTCTTTGTAATTTTAAACCGCCTTTTGATGAACTTTTAAGAGATATATTTATCCTAGGAGTAGGCTTACCTGAGTTGGACAAAGAACTTCGGCCAAAGTATATCGAAGGCAATATTACTTTTGAAGAGACCGTGCGTTTAGCGATCGCGCTGTCTTCGTTGGAAAATGAAACCCAGACTGAAGTTAATAAAATAATTAAAATAAGCCAACACAGGGTTCGAAAAATAATTATTTTAGAAATAATAATTATACTAACGTCAATAGATTCAATAATAATAAACACTTTATAAACAATTATATTCCTAATAATAATTATAGACCTAGTATCAAACCTAACTCTATTCAAAAGAAAGTGATATGCTTTCGTTGCGGTAAGGCAAACCACATAGCGAAAGATTGTAGAACCCATGCCATACAAATGATTCTGCCACGGACACCTCGCCTGTCATTTTCAAATAAAGCTACCATCGATGCGAAGATAAATGGGTTGCAGCTAGCTATGGAGTTTGATACCGGCGCCGCGTGTAGTGTGATTGATGAGGTCACCTGGAGTCGTATTGGCAGACCACAACTATCACCGGCTTATAAATTAGTGGGATATAATCATATCCAAATCGAAGTACTAGGTATATGTACCGTAGAAATCAAAGTAAAAAATATTTCGAAATTTTTACTTATTTGGGTAGTTAAAGGGGAGAATTCCATTATTTTTGGGATGCCTTTCATTAGAGAATTTGATATAAAACTACCGGAAGAAGTTCGTATTAATAAAATAAATATGAATATGAATATTCCCTCTTTAAATACGATTGTTTCAAAATTCTCTCAAGTTTTTAAAAAAAAATTAGGTGAAATCAAACTGCAAAAGGCAGTCATCCGAATAGAACCGAACACGTTACCGATTGCATTACCAGCAAGAAGAGTTCCTTTTCCGTTGCGTCGAACCATTGAAGCTGAGTTGGACAGACTTTAGACGAAGGCGTTATCGAGAAGGTGGATCCAACAATAACTCCAATCACTTGGGCTACGCCAACGGTTAATATCTTAAAGAAATCCGGTGCCATACGGATATGCGGAGATTTTCGTTTAACAATCAACAAATATCTAGCGATCGATAACGATTTACTACCAACTTTCGTCGACCTAACAAATAAAATCGCGGGTGGTAAAATATTTTCAACAATAGATTTAAGAGATGCATTTTTACAATTCGGAGTTAGTCCAGAATGTAGGGACCTTTTAGTAATTTCGACACATGTCGGTTATTACCGATACTAAAGAATTCCATTTGGTTTGACTAGCGCTCCGATAATATTTCAACGCTTTATGAAAAACCTATTAAAGGGAATTCCTATGGTTAGTGTATTTTTAGACGACATAATTATTGCAGGTGAGAATAATTCCGATCATATAGTTAATTTGGAAGAAGTATTTAGAAGATTTGAGAAGGCTGGACTGACCACGACGACTAATAAAATTAAAATCGGAGAAAAGTCAGTCACTTATTTAGGTCATGTTATTGACAGTTTCGGAATTCACCCTACAGAAGATAAGATTAGCGCTATAAAAATTTTTAAAACACCTTCCAATGTTAAAGAACTACGTTCATTTATTGGAATAGTGAATTATCATGAGGTATTTATTAAAAATTTGCATTCTTTTGTGCGCCTTTACACCGACTAACGAGTAAAAATGTTGGTTGGTTTTGGTCAGCTAAAGAAAATGAAATATTTACTAAAGTTAAAAATATATTGTCAAAAGAAGATACAATAATTCCTTATTCAGCCGATATCCCTGTCGTGATTTCTTGTGACGCTTCCGAAGATGGTCTAGGAGCTGTTATTGCACACCGATTTCTTACTTGCATGGCTGGATTATTTTAATTAGTTTTAAAATTTTGCTCAGTAGGATGTTTTATAATTCTTAAGAATTTGAAGTCAACAAATACAAATAAGGCTAGGTTAGAAATAAACTTATTTTTATAACTTTAAAATTATTTTATTTTAGGTTTTTTAGATTCTTCCTTCAAAAGGATTAACAATTCAATCCAATTCGCATGTACAATTATATATTATTTTAAGCCTTGATGAAATGTCTATACAGTGACTTATTCATTGGTATAAAAATGAGTTTCATGGATGTATAGATTTTTAATATGGAATAGAACATTCTGAATTTATATCTGAACTAACAAAGCTTTATGTCTTATGGCAACATATTATTATTATAAAATAATGCAATAACTTCAAAAATATCCTATCAATTATTATTACTTATATAATAATAATAAATCTTGTATATTTTAATAAAAAATATATAATATCTAATAAAGTTGTTAATTTTTGTGATTAAAATGATTTTTATATTATTCATAATATTTATTATAATTAAAGAAATAAACTTATGAATTTAATATTTTATGGAGTTATATGATTAGATCTTAATAACTATTAAACCTTAACATTTAGCAACCCTATTGCAGTTATTGAGAATGTTTAAAATATTTTTACTTTTAATAGTATATCCTATATATATAATCTTATCTCTTGGTATTAATTTTCAAATTAGTTTTATATTTATTGTTTTTATCATTCCTTGTTTGTAATATTTTATTTTTAAAATTGGTTTCATTTTCTAATATGGCTTTTATTATTATGTGTTTGTATCAGTATTTATTTATTTTAACATATTCTCATATGTATTTCTTACAAAATAATAAGCATAACCTAATTAAAAATGTGTAAGAATGAAATAAATATTATTATAAAATTAAAGTTACAGAAAATTTATAAATATTTTATAAGATATAATAAATTTTCTTAATAAAATATAATATCAACATTTAAAAATATATGATCATGATATAAATCAACAATATTAAATGATGAAATTGAATGTGCAAATAATGTTCAATTATTAATGTAATTAGAATTTGATAATGGAAGAATAGTGCTTCTTGATTAAGCATATGATCAATAAGTTCATCAAAAATATTTGTTTGATGTACTTTAAAAAGAATAAATGATACAATCCTTTTGAAAATAAATTTTTTTTATTAGCAATGATTTTTCAAAAACATGGAATGCACTTTCAGAAATTTGGCATAATATTGAAACACTCTTAGAAGGAATTATTAACCCCTGATTGTTTTTTATTTTTATCAAATTATAAGCATCACTATTTTTATGATTTTGATAATCCATCATAGCTGTTATGCATGTATAACATGTTACTTTTTTTCCAATAGGTTGATACATTTTCAAGGTAGAGTGATAATGTCGGAATATTAGGAACAAATGTTAACGAATTTTCATAAAGATTAATATGGTTGTTATTGTCAGCATTTTTCTGAAAATCTCCACAAATTAGATTAATATTATTGATTGGAATACAATTACCTATTGTTAACACTTCCAGTTTTGCTACCAAGACATCTCTTATGGCCGATCGTAATTGATAAGCAGAAGGATTATTGTTAAAACCTCTTCTGCTGCGTAAACAACTAAAAATAGTTCAAGATGATCTTGTGAGGTTTTGTAGGTTAAAATGTAACTAAAATAAGAAAAGAAAAAAAAATTAATAATAATTATAGTTAGTATTAAGAGGTATAAAAATATTTGAAAATAAATAAGAAAAATATATAAAATACTTGAGTTTGGGATTAGGTCCCAATAATAATTCATTCCCAATACCCAGAATACTTTTCATTAATGCTATTAACCCTATAAGGAATGTTTTTCTATTTGATTAATATATCCCATCTTCAAACTTTAAAGCTTTAATAGTATTGATACATTTTTCAAAATAATCTTCATAATATGGAAGAGATCTTTTAGATAGTGGGGCCTTAAACTCTTTAGCACATGTTTCGAGTACTTAAAAATTCAAACATTCTATAAAAATAATTTATTTAATACCGATCAAACATTTGAATAAAGTCTACTGTGCCTTCACAGTTTTCAAACCCATCAATTTTTAGCTCATGTGCTAAAAGAATACCTTTTGCTACTGAGCTACTAAAAACTTGAAGGGCAAGTTTAACCTTTAAAAAAATATTTTAAAAGTAAAAAATTCTTTTTATTTTACTTTCATTTTCTGCTTATGATAATCAATATGAGAACGGCCAATTCTGTTTGCAGCCCTTAGTCCTTCCTTATCCTGTAAATCATGAAGGTTTGCTATATAATTTCCAATTTATTACCTATTTGTAATGGGCATGACTAAAATACGCGTCCCCGAAAACTTCGCGTCCCCTGTCAAAGAGGTTTAATTTATATAATATTAATATAAAATCTTATTTAGCTTAATAAAATAAGTTAAAAAATGTTTTTTATGATTTTTTAAAAAAATGATATCTTAGTAAAATTTTTAAAAAATTATTTTTTTACATGAAAAAACTACGCGTCCCTGGTCAAGATACAATTTTTTTTTTTAAATAAAACAGATTCATATTTAGCTCATTAAATGAATATAGAAAATGTTTTTTATGATTTAAAAAAAATGTGTTAACTTAGTAAAAAATTTTAAAAAAAAAACTACGCGTCCCCGGTCAAGATATATTTTTTTTAAAAAAATAAAAGCAGATTCATATTTAGCCATTAAATGGATACAGAAAATGTTTTTTTTGATTTAAAAAAAAAGTGGTAACTTAGTAAAATTTTATAAAAACTAATTTTTTACATGAAAAAACTACGCGTCCTTACGCGTTATCAAGATACAGTTTTTTTTAGAAAATAAAAGCAGATTCATATTACTGACAATTCAATTAAAATAGCGTAGATCTTCAAAGCATGTTGGCCCAGCTACATAATTAAGTAATAGTCTTAAATAAAAAACCTCACCCTCTTTAGGAGAAACTGTGCGTATACCGCCAATAACCTTATCATCACCCCTTTGTCGTTTTATCCACTGTTTAGATACAGGTTTCCACACATAATATCTTACAAAATCTGCATAAATATATTGTCTGGCCTCTGTGTCAAGATCATTAATTTTAAACCATTCGGTTAATTTTGTACCAGGATTTTTAGTTAATATATTATTTAAATCAGTATTTGATTGAAAAAGGATCAAATGTTGATTAGGTATATGAAGTTCTAAGCGATAGACTGCAGGAGAATGATCCTGCATTTCAAAATCCAGAGTACGCCATAGCGATTCTATGGCGGATATATATCGAGCATCAATGAACTGGGTAGTTTCATCGACATTATTAATAAAAAGAGATGCAGTAGTTCTGTCATGGCCTTTGTAACAATACTTATAAAGGTATTTTATGGACTGGACAGAAGAACAAATTTCTACATTTATATGTGCATTATATTTTTTTGATAAATGTTTATTATAAGGAATAATCCAACGGTTGTTAAATATAAATCCGTTTAATTTTTTTTGGAAGGTAACTCCATCATTTCGTCGCCGATATAAAGGATAACCATACTTATCAATAGAAGAGGTATCCACAAATGATTTAGGATATTTTTTTGAGCATTTTCCATCAATCATGCAGGGACTATTAGGAAATGTTATACCACATGGCCCATGTATATTAAAATTGCTAATAATTTGTAACGACTTAGGCTCAGTTATTTTGTTAGGAATCTCAGCACAAACTACCTCATCATAAGTATCAGCCGTTGGTAGCCTATGAGATATATCTAGTATAAGGCACATATGACAATGAGGCAAACCTCTTTTCTGGAATTCTATGACATCTATATAAGCGATTACTCTGCCAAGAACATGATAATAGAGCAAATCCTTTTTTAGACATTTTAATTTTTGACGAAAAACGCGACAAACTAAATCTGGGTGGTCGTTTGGGGTCTGATGAGGAAATAAATCACACATTATTTCATCCTATTTAGGGTTGCAGGTGAAAGTAATGAATAATGATGACTTACCAAAGCAGCATACAATAGCCATTGCGTCCTGTTAAAGCTGATGCATATGCCTTGGGCCACCGGTAAAAGAAGAAGGCAAAATTATTCTTCTGCCAAGATTGTCAACGTTAGTATCTCCCTCTAAAATAGCATCATGTACTCCTTGATAGAGTTCGGCGCGTAATTTGGATTGATTATTACGTATAAAATTTAATCGAAGCGTTTCCTGTTTGGCATAACTGTCGACGATAAATTTGTGAAAAAGACGTTTGGATCTTAAAATAACATTCTCTTCATCCTGCCTGACCATAAAGCGATAGGCATAGTACTCTCTGCAGGTAACATATTTATTAGAGTTTCTATAATGAATGGATGGGTGGTATCCAATATCGCCTCTAGGAAATAGAAGAACATATTGCAAGGGATCGTATGAGGAATGGAGCTCGTTAATACGTCTTAAAGGACCAGATATAGTTTTTAAGGTAATATTCCTATGGGCTATATGATCACTGCCATCACCAGGTAATAATACTGCTATTTCAGATGAGGTAGGTTTATTGCGATAACGTATGTCAAAACTTGGAGTAGATTTTAAGTTTAAGGATATGTTAGGAACGCCATTAGCGATCATAGAAGATACTCTCAAAAATTGAGAAGCAAAGGGGTTGTAGGTGTGAACAATATCCTGCAATTCCATTAAAAGACAACGATCTAAAAACGGAACCTGGTTATGTCTGTTCTATCTCATTTATACTATCATGTATATATAATTGGGCAAATTTAGGTGTTTCCCCTAATGTTGGTAGGAGTGAACCAATGCGATGATGAACCTGTCCATTAATTTGAAAGGTATAATTACCTGATCGCGAATTGGATAAATTATTATTTATATTAACTCCTAATGAAGTGAATGACAGTGCGGAATTATAAGCTCTTATGTTTGTTAAAAAGTGGGATGATGAACAATGATCCCCGGTAAATAAACGTAATAAATTTGGTGGTAATTGGGAAGTTTTATAAAATTACCTTCCCATTCAAGCAACATGTAGAAAACTGAGTATTTCTACATGAGCTTTTTGATAATTTTTCTCCATTCCACATTTTAGCATTGCAGAAGGCACATATTTCTGTCATGTTTCCGATATCTAATATAGGTGAGTGGTGGTCATCAAATATATGTCGAAATATGCATGGTAGAGGTGCCATAGGGAATGTGGTAGTGGTTATAGAAATATCAGTTGAAGGTATCTGGGTGAATATAAAATAAACATATATATATAAAACATTAAAAACCTGCAAGGGAGTTAATATCAGGCGTAAGTCCTTATTATCCTGCATACCTGTATTTCTAGAACGGGTAAGGCGTTTGTTGAGTCGCCATTTTTTCCTTTGCTTATCTTTAATAGAAGTATCATGTTTCGTAGTAATGTGAGGGATCAAGGTTGGGTTAGCCTAAAAAATAAGGAAATCAGGCAAAAATATAAAACATTATTATTGAAATAAAACGAACATTAAAATACTGTACTGAACCTGTAAAGGGGTCAATATATGCATATCTCTAGTAGTTGGGAGGCTATCATAAAAAAATAAAATTTGTCTAGTTGGGGACTTATCAAGACTATCATGTTTTTCTGAACATTTATTTTGTATTTGTTGATTATTAATGGTAGATATATCAATATTTAAACAATTATAAGGAGGAAATATAGCAGGGTTTGTTATCTAAAACAAAAACAAATAAAAAATTTTTAAAAAATGAATGCGTTAAACTTGCAGAGGAGTCAAGATTAGGATCAACTACCTAGAAATAGTGGGAATATCATCAGAAGCTAAAATGGATGTATTCTAAAAAATAAAAAAATATAATAACATTTATGCTTTTTTAGTATATATATATACACTTACTTTATTATGTGTTGTTAGTATATTTTGCTGGGATTCACAATCCCTATAACTATTCTTTTGTTGATTGACCTGCCATCTTTTTCTTTCATTAATGACGGATAAATCACCATCTGTACAATCATTAAATGAGGTTAAGACAGGGTTTGTTATCTAAAATAAAAACAAAAGAATAATTTAAAAAATATAAATGCATTGAACCTGAAGAGGAGTCAATATAAGGTTCAACTCTCTAAAAATAGTGGGAATATCATCAGAAGCTAAAATGGATGTATTCTAAAAAATAAAAAAATATAAGAACATTTATGCTTTTTTAGTATATATATACTAACTTTATTATGTGTTGTTCAATGATATATATAACATAGATTGGCGATTCATTCATTAAATGCATGATAAAAATGTCGTCACATTGCAATCAGCTGTAACGCCATTTTGTAGTTTGGATATCCATTATTTGTCAGCATGAAATATTAATACATATATAATATTACCAAAACTAGTCTACGAAGATAATTTACTTTGAAAAGTTTCCATTTATGATATATTATTTTTCTTATATTCTTAAATATTATGGTAAGATTATAATTTGTTTTAATTATTTCTTAGTCTAGTGAATTTTTATGAATGTAGATTAGCTGATTATACCTTAAAAAAATGATTCTAAGACTAACCCTCCTTTTAATTTTTTAAAATATAGTTTAACATAATTCAGTATGGACTTATAAATCATATGTTAATGCATTTTAGGATACATACAAAACATGTCTTTTAATATCACCATCATTTATTATTTTATTTAGATAATGGGAGCAGAGTTGTACCTCGCTCAAAAATTTGAGCAAGATCTTTGAAGATCGTAAAATTTGAAGATCTTTTACTTTTAAAAAATTTTGAGCAACGATCTTCAAAGATCGAGATCTTTTGAAGATCTTTTATTTTAAAAAATTTTTGAGCAGCGATCTTCAAAGATCTAGATCTTTAAAGATCTTTTATTTAAAAATATTTTAGATCAAACGATCTTCAAAGATCTTCATATTTTATAATGTTTTATTTTTTTGATATTATTTTTTGAACTGCATGTTAAATTAAAATAAAAATTTAATAAAGATGTACCGACAATTTTCATAATCGTTATTTTTTGAACTTTTTTCGACATATATGGGTAAAAAAAAATTTATATAAAAAAAAATTTATATTATAATTTCAATGAAGATGTAATGTATTAAAAAGTGGAAATTGTAATAATCGTTATTTTTAACTTATTTGATTTATTATATCCTAAATTAAATAGGTTATAATTATTAATATTAAGATGTAAAAATAAAATTTCAATGAAGATATACCATAGAAAAGTGACAATTGTTATAATCGTTATTTTTGAAAATTTTTTTATAGCATAGATATTGTTAACATGTTAAATTAAAATTTCAGTGAAGATGAACCACAGGAAAGTGACAATTATCATAATCGTTATTATTGAACTTTTTTAAATTTTTTTAAAGCAAATGGGTAAAAATAGATATTGTTAATATGTTTTAAATTAAAATTTCAGTGAAGATGTACTACAGGAAAGTGACAATTGTCATAATCGTTATTTTTGAACTTTTTTGAAATTTTTTAAAGCAAATAGGTAAAAATAGATATTGTTAACATGTTAAATTAAAATTTCAGTGAAGATGTACTACAGGAAAGTGACAATTGTCATAATCGTTATTTTTGAACTTTTTTGAATTTTTTTAAAGCATTTGGATAAAAATAGATATTGTTAACATGTTAAATTAAAATTTCAGTGAAGATATACTACAGGGAAGTGACAATTGTCATAATCGTTATTTTTGAACTTTTTTAAAGCAAATGGATAAAAGAAGATATTGTTAACATGTTAAATTAAAATTTCAGTGAAGATGTACTACAGTAAAGTGACAATTGTCATAATCCTTATTTTTGAACTTTTTTAATTTTTTTTAAAGCAAATGGGTAAAATAGATATTGTTAACATGTTAAATTAAAATTTCAGTGAAGATGTACTACAGGAAAGTGACAATTGTCTTAATCGTTATTTTTGAACCTTTTTAAATTTTTTAAAGCAAATGGGTAAATGAAGATATTGTTAACAATATAAATTAAAATTTCAGTGAAGATGTACTACAGGAAAGTGACAATTATCATAATCGTTATTATTGAAATTTTTTTAAAGCAAATGAGTAAAAATAGATATTATTAATATGTTAAATTAAAATTTCAGTGAAGATATACCATAAATAATCTTTATTTTTGATTTTTTTATATATAAAATTGAAAACTGATAATTGTCATATGTAATATTTTTAAACTCTTTTTATTAAACAAGGTTAGAATAAAGATATTTTGAAAATTATTTATTATTTCAAAATTATTAAAAAAATATATTGTTAACCAGGTTTGTTGTTAATAAGGTCCTATCCCATTTAATTTTAAAAAATAACCGATCTAATTTTTTTTAATAAAAAATATTGGCTCATTATGTTTCTTAAATTTTTGATGGCTTTTAGATTGTAAAATATTAAAAAGTGGTGCCTTCTAACTTCTATAATTTGAGCGTTATTTAAGTAAATTCGTGCTTTTACAATGTACAACGACATTAAACAGCAAGAACTCAAATTTATATTACGAGCCAAATATATTTATGGATTGTCAAATTATTGGTTTTTTAGTTTTGACAAAATAATAAACCTGACCTAACTTATTCAATTGGATAGATTTAGTTTTTTTTATACTGAAAATATTTTATATTTTTTTTATTTTAGTCTATCAATTCGAGTCGCGAAAGGCAGTTTTAAATATGAATATTTATTGTAAACCTAGCATATAAATATTTCTCCTTTTAAAATTCAACCCATACTTTTTAATCATTTGCACTGAACGAATTACTTATCTCAGTGGCACGATCCTCAAGGAATTTCCTCTTATCTCTTCTGAGTTTATGACTTATATCGTTTAGGATATACATGGCTCTGTTTCTCCTATAATGACCACTCCCCACTAGATTTGAAATAAGATTTTTTGATTCTATTGAGATCCAGTCCGGATAATTCATCTTGGCTGGTAAGGAATTTGATGCCGCATTGTTGAAAATGTCACGGGTATTTTCCCATAGTGTGTCCGAGGATAAGTTGTTAGTTTGATCGATAAATTTATGAGAATTATTTCTGATTTGTTTTATATATTCTGTTTTGATATTGTGATCATTTAAAGCCTCGATATCTAATTTGGGACGTTTCGAAAGTGACTTTCCGTTTCTTTTCTTCCTCATATGCCATATCTTCGGGTCTATTACAATAGAGCAATCTATAATTTTATGGTCAGAGTTAAATAAAACCTGATGAAGAACTTTAATATTTTTTATCCAACTCATAGTCGACCTATTACAAATAAAATAGTCTATTTGAGACCAAGTATTGTATGTTTGGCTAAAATATGTGTATATCTCTCTTTTATCCGAATGTTCGAAGAAAGTATTAGCTATTCGAAGATCTAACTTATGACAGAGTTTTAATAGTAGTTTTCCTCCAATATCGGATTTAATATTTAGTGTTCCTGAACCAAGGGAAATATGATTCTTTATATCAATTTTTTCTACTTTCGCATTAAAATCCCCAGCAATTAGTAAGTTTTCGCGTTTCGGAAATTTATTTAGATATTCGTCAAGAAAAATGAAGAATGGTTGTTTTTCAGTATAGTTCACTGGTATATAAATATTTACAATATTTAAGGTTTTACATCTCATATTTACTTTTATGCTACATACCCTACTATTTACGCCATCGAATTTTGAGATGTAGCCCGATAGATTCTTTTTGATCAATATACAAACTCCACACCAGTTTTTTTCAGTTTCGCCCGAGTTAAAGAGTAGGTAACCTTTGCAATTAATTTTACAAGTATCAATCCAATGTGTTTCTTGTATACAAGCAATGTCAACCGCTAGGGTATCTAATATTATTCTTAGTTGGGCAAATTTATTATTATTTAGGGATCTAGCATTTAGGGATATAATTCTTAGAGAACCAGAAAAATTGTTCATTGTAATGTTAGTAAATTTATTTAGTAATTAAAAATTAGAGAAATAATTTATATTACTAGATTAAAAATTTATTTAACGATTTATAAAACAAGATATCGGACAATATATATTATCAGGATTTCACTATATAAAATAAAGTTTTTCAGACAATTTATTTAACGATTTATAAAACACGATTTCGACAATATATATTATCAAGACTTCACTATATAAAATAAAGTTTTTCAGACAACTTATATCACTATTTATCAAAGCAATTTTTTTGACAGCTTATTACTACAATTAAATAGATTTTTTATCAAGATTTCTCTATAAAAAAAACGGAATTTGAATTATCATAACAATTTCCGACAGCTACAACAATATAATATTTCCAAGAATTTTTCCCTATTTCGTCTATTAATATCAGTTTTAGATATTAGTATTACAACGATATAATATCAAATTTGAGACAGGTTTCAACAGCACTAAAAGTGAGTAATAATAGAATTAATAAATCATACGAGAGAAATTACTTGTAAATATAATAGATTTTTTTTATCAAGATTTCTCTATAGAAAAAAAAAATGGAATTTAAATTATCAAACAATTTCCGACAGCTACAACAATATAATATTTTCAAGATTTTTTCCCATTTCGTCTATTAATGTCAGTTTTAGATATTAATATTTCACGATATAATGAGACAAGTTTCAACAGCACTAAAAGTGAGTAATAATAGAAGAAAATCATAAATCATACGAGAGAAAAAACTTATAAATCTGTTGTATATATAAGAATTGATAAAAGTAATTAATCTTTTGAGAAAGTTTCGAGAATTTTAACGATATACTAGGAATAATTATAATTTAAAAGTTATAATAGTATATAAATTAACAGAAGATAAAATTAAAGAAAATAATAATATATATAAAATAAATAAAATAAAATAAAAAATAAATAAAAAATAAATAAAAAATAAAATAAAATATAAAAATCTAGGAATAATTGTAATTTAAAAGTTTGACGTTACATATAGTATATAAATTAATAGTATTTAAATTAACCGAAGATAAAATTAAAGAAAATAATAATATATATAAAATAAATAAAATAAAATTATTATCCGATTTATTTTGTTAAAATATAAAATATACATAAAATAAAACAAACATTTGATTTATTTTGTTAAAAGAAAAGAAAAAACAAATGTTATTTAAAAAGTTTAAATAGAGATTATCAAATTTAATAAATCATCGTATTATCCAAAGAGTTAACATAGTGATTACCTTATCATCGTATTATCCAAAGAGTTAACATAGTGATTTTAAATAGTGATTCTAAAAATTACTTAGTATGAATTTTTGTTAAAAAACAAATGTTATTTAAAAAGTTTAAATTGAGATTATCAAAGTGTTTTTTGTTAAAAAGAAAACAAATGTTATTTAAAAGGTTTAAATAGAGATTATCAAAGTGTTTAATATGATCATCGTATTATCTAAAGAGTTAACATAGTGATTACCTTAAACAGTGATTACCCAAAAAATTATTTAGTATGTATTTATTACCAGTATACATTGAAAAAACAATAAAGTTATATATTACTTCAATTATATGTTTAATTTGTTTCTCCCTTTATAATATCTAGTTTACTCTCTTATTATATGTTTAATTTGTTTCTCACTTTATAATATCTAGTTTACTCTCTTATTATGTTTATTATTATTTAATAAATCTTATTCTTATCGGTTATTTACCAGATAACAAAATAGAATGCAATTTATACGACTTTATTTATATGTAAGAAATAAATAAAATATTACTAAATTAGTATAAGTTATCTACTATTATATATCAATTTAATTAGCATAAGAGTTTAACTTATATCTTTTTTGTTAGAATTTTTATCCTTCAATATGCTAGGTTTGAATTTTAAAATCTTCAATAAGCCAAGTATCTAACACATAACATCATATAATATAATATAATGTGATAATTTCAAGTATAAATTTGTAAAATATATTATTATTTTATTTATATATAAGAAATAAATAAAAAATTGTTTGTACTAATTTATTGTTCAAACTCTAACTAGTATAATTTATCTACTATTTTAGCTAGTTATATATCTATTTAATTAACACAAGGAATTAATTTATATCTTGATTGTTATGAATTTTAATTCATCAATAAGCCAAGTTTGAATTATATCAATTCTAAGCAAAGTACCTAACACTTAATTCTCTTATAATGTAATAATTTCCAGTATAAATTTTAAAATACACTAATTATTCCACCTACATATTAGGATATAAATAGTAGCGTAATAATTTCCAGTATAAATTTTAAAATATACTAATTATTTCCCTACTATATAATTTAAATTATTTTAATTTATTTTAAAAGTTAATATGTTTGAGCTATTAGAATTAATTAGTGCAATTTTTGAAATCAAATTACTTAAGCTCTTAAAATAATTATAAGAAAGTATTTATGTTATGTTTAGCTATTAGAATTATTTAGTTAATTTGTGAAATCAAATTAGTTAGGTTATTAAAAAATTATAAGAGAGTATTTATGTTTAAGCTATTTGAGTTATTAGTGTAATTGGGGAGTTGTCAAATTGCTAGACTTTTAAAATAATTATATGAAAAGTATTATTTAATAGTTAAACCAAATTGTATGTGGATAATACAGCAAATAGGAATAATGTCATAGAAGTAGAGTATATATAATAATATTAATGTAATAATAAGACTTATCTTTTTCCTATCTTGAAATGGAATTTATTGAATGGTATATCTTGTATAAGATTATCGAATTCAACTTTCAAAACATAAGTTAGTCATCTTAGTGTTACCATGAATCATAATCAGGTGGAAAATAATTAGGCATTTGTTCTTATTGTGAATAGTTGCTTTTTTCCTTAACAATTGAGAAATATTTTTATAATGGGCGAAGAGTCATTTTCACCGATTTGACGAGAAGTGGATCGAATATTTTTCTCCCTTCTTTTCTTTTTGTTTTAGAAATTTTTTCTCTTCCATTTAGAGGTACATTTTCGAATTGAGCTGACTTAATAGGTTTTGTTTTTCAGTCGAGTGGATAGACAAGTCAATTTTTCACTTTATCATAGAAGTGATGTGTTTTTCTCATTATCATGTATATCTTTTTTTCTAAAAATTGAACCAAACTTGTAATCATATCTGAATATTTTCCCATTTATAATTATCCTAAATGTTGACCTTTTTGTTGTTTTAATTTCAAGAAGAAAATAATTATCCTAAATAATTGCACTCAATGATTGCACTAATAAAAAAAATAAGTTTAAAGACAATGATTGCACTAATAAAAAAAATAAGTTTTCATTTCGGCATTTAATATTTAACATCAATTTTACATTTATTGTGAATTTTTTTAAAAGTTGAATATCATATGTTTATAAATCTATTATTATAATTAATGTAAATATTATTAATTAAGAAAATAAAAATACTTTTGATAAAACATAATGTTTGATTTATAAAATTGTATCAGTAGCTAATTAAATATAAAATTAAAATAAATAATGGACTCTTGATATTAAGAACTAGAGGGTAAAATAATTATTATAAATAACCATTGGTATTCGTATCGGTTCTATATCGCTAAACCAAAAATCGCTAAAAAATAGGTAGGCACCCATTTTGATTATCAAAAAGATTACCAAAGATGGCCACCAATATTTGATCAAGATTACGATTTTTATTCAATACTATGAAGATTCAAACCGTCGCAGAAAACATAGATAAAATACTTAAGCTTAGGAAATTAGAAATCAAAGTATGTTTAATATAATTTACATATAAAAAATTTTTTTTTAGAAAACAAACAAAAATAAAAATTACATAGAATATTTGGGATATCAATATTTACTACAGAAATCTGGTAAAAGTGCCATATATTACTATTGCCGCAACAAAAAATGCGGCGGCAGAGCAAAACTCACCATAAATTGTGACTTTAGTATAACTAAAAGTCATGCAGAGACCTGTAAACCAATCCAAAGTATTTAAATTTAATTACAAATATATATTATTATATTTTTAGATGTTTTACCTTTATCTTCTAATATTATCTTAGAAGAACTCAATTCAAATTTTAAAGGTATAAATATTTTCTCATAATTTTTAAACAAAAAACTCAATATTAAATAGGTGATATTCTAATAGCAAGTACTTCCCAAGGGCAATCACTGAACCTTCCTAATCAAGGTTAAATATTATAAACAATTTTAAATAAATATTGTCATTTTAGGTACAACATATTATAATACCATTATCTAAGCACAAATTTTAAAATAGGTGATATTCCAATAGCAAGTACTTCCCAAGGGCAATCACTGAACCTTCCTAATCAAGGTTAAATATTATAAAAAATTTTAAATAAATATTGTCATTTTAGGTACAACATATTATAATACCATTATCTAAGCACAAATTTTAAAATAGGTGATATTCCAATAGCAAGTACTTCCCAAGGGCAATCACTGAACCTTCCTAATCAAGGTTAATTATTATAAACATTCTTAAATAAATATTCTCATTTTAGGTACAACATATTATAATACCATTATCTAAGCACAAATTTTAAAATAGGTGATATTCCAATAGCAAGTACTTCCCAAGGGCAATCACTGAACCTTCCTAATCAAGGTTAATTATTATAAACAATCTTAAATAAATATTCTCATTTTAGGTACAACATATTATAATACCATTATCTAAGCACAAATTTTAAAATAGGTGATATTCCAATAGCAAGTACTTCCCAAGGACAATCACTGAACCTTCCTAATCAAGGTTAAATATTATAAACAATCTTAAATAAATATTGTCATTTTAGGTACAACATATTATAATACCATTATCTAAGCACAAATTTTAAAATAGGTGATATTCCAATAGCAAGTACTTCCCAAGGACAATCACTGAACCTTCCAAATCAAGGTTAAATATTATAAACAATCTTAAATAAATATT